ATAATAAGAAGCTGAAAGGTCTTTTGGATAACGAGGATGATGATGTGCCTCGGACGGCGGAGATTGGGGAGAACAAACCTGGGCAACAAGGAAAGAAGGGTAGAGTTAAATTGGAGGATCTAACGAGATATACTATGGTCAAGCGTATTTGGTAGGAAAGGCAAGACGCGTTCGAGTACACGGGCTCCTTCCACTTGTTGCCAACTGCCAATGCCTTTCTCAAATATCAATCCCACTCCAAGGCATTCCGTTCCATCCTGCTATGCATATGGAATCCCACCCCTACAACACTAGAATCACGAGGATATCTTTTGGCCCTGCCACTATCCAACAGCCAGAACAGGTTTTTCGTTCGCTTGTGGCTATATTTCCTAGTTTGCGACAAATTAGAGTGTCGGGAATCGACGAGCAAGGAGTCAGTGATTGGAGGGTGGTCAGAAATTTGTTGAGAGAGAAGGTTTGATTTGTATAAGTAATAAGAAGCCGAAAGGTATTTTGGAAAACGAAGATGATGATGTGCCTCGGACGAAGGAGATTGGAGAGAACAAACCTGGGCAACAGGGAAAGAAGGGTAGAGTTAAATTGGAGGATCTAACGAGATCTACTATGGTCAAGCGTATTTGGTAGGAAACTTGTAGGAAACACAAGACGCGTTCGATTCAGATTGAGCATATCCCTATCTGATCCCTCTTGCGAAGGCCTACGATGGGTATCACCAGTCGATTTGTGATCACTGAAAGTTGCATCCTTTGACTCAATAATAAGCGCTTAAGCACTGGAAGTAAGTAGTCTCACTAGGAATCTTCAAGTTGGTATGGATTGGAATGGAATATGATTTGGCTGTCTACATTACAGAAGTAATTCAGGCTGACTACAAAATACTATAGGCGACCTCGACAGCTCATCGAAAATAAGATAGAGGGTATAGTAAGTAAGAGGGAGAGCGGAGGCACTGGAGAATTTGTCACGATCCACGTGGCCTGTCACATCGCGTTTGATCTGAAATTTCAAACTCTCACGCGTGTTTAATTACATGCTCAAATCCAACGCAGTCAACGCCAGAATGCACCATGCACTGTCTATATTGGAAATTCAAACCATGATCTGTCGCCTTCTTGAACTTGATTCGCTGGCGCGCATTGCATGCACCTGTAAATCAATAACAGGTATTTTTTTCATTTTGTAGTGCTACATAGTAACAAAGGACAGAAAGCTCACATGTTTTGCGCAGAATCAGCTCTAGATACACTCTGGCGCGAGCAGAAAACTCTAGGACCTCTGGTTATGGTCATGCCGGGCGATTTGTGGGAACAGGCTGACTTTGGACTTCTGGTGCGTCCCGGATCCGACCTTCTCAGCCGATCGCTCTTTTACCATGAAAATTAGAAACTGACTAGGCCGTTGCGCGAAAGTGACTGGCCACGCTTCGAGTTCTATGCTCGACGAATACAGCATCTAGGTATCGAGGAAGACCACATTAATTGGAGCTCGTATCCCGATACGTATCTGGACGTAAACGTTTTCAGTGCTTTTGGCAGCTATAGACCGACGCGTACACTCTTGCCAAATCTCCGTGCATTCACTCTTGACGGAGGGGAAGAACAAGCAGCGGCGGAATGCCTCCCTCATCTTCAGATATTACTTGGCCCCTCAGTTCGCGTCATTAATATCACCTCCGTGTACTCTCTGGACGAGTCGACACTCCCAGAGTTTCTATCTGATATCTTTCGTGTATGCCCCCAAGTTGAAGACGTTCGCCTGGAGGATTGCGAGGACCTCCAGCATATGAAGCAGATGATCATGGATCTACACGGCCTTCGCAACATTCATGTTGAGATGATGACTCTCACCAGCGACCTCATCCGACATTTAGGTGCTCTTCCTGCACTTGAGCGCCTTGGAATAGTCGTCATTCCTCCCGATATACTGCAGTCCAAGAAGGCACCCTCCTTGTTCCCCAATCAGTTTCAAGCCCTTCGTGACCTAAGCTTTATCGTTTCGGACTGGTTTCAAGCGGGGATCTTCTTGGAATTTTTGCAGGTTCCTCTTACCAAGCTGTGCGTACGTATGTCTGCAGTAGATTCTCAGTCAACCCCCATTACGGCTATTGTCCCGACACTTTGCCTAACTGCCACAACCCTGGTTTCCTTATCACTCCGTCAGAACGCAAGCCGGCATGTCGACGGAACCCCAGCAGATGTTTTGTTCGCTTTCAGAACGCTATTTTCTTTGCGAGCTCTGCACTCGATTACTCTACGCCTTCCCTGTGTTGTCCATTTGGATGACTCTTGGATAAAGGATGCATCTCTTTCGTGGCCAGCGCTGCAATCCATCTCTATTTCATTCGGAGAGGAGTACCAATTCTTGGTTCATCAACAAAAGCCTGCCATAACTTTGCAGGGGCTCATTCCACTTGTTGCCAACTGCCCACGCCTTTCTAAAATATCAATCCCACTTCAAGGCATTCCGTTCCATCCTGCTATGCCTATGAAATCCCACGCCTTCAACAGTAGAATAACGAGCATAACTCTTTGGCCTGCCACTATCCAACAGCCCAAACAGGTTTTTCGCTCGCTTGTGGCTATATTTCCCAGTTTGCGACAAATTAGAGTGTCGGGAATCGACCAGCAAGGAATCAGTGATTGGAGGGTGGTCAGAGATTTGTTGAGAGAGAGTGCTTTCAAGGTTTAATTTTCAGTGTTTTCCCCAATTATAACAGTACTGTAGTGAGCAGCATAACACCACCCTTTATTCTTGTCCGCATGCTTCGCACGGAGGATACGTTACACCCTCTTTATATATCGACTTGAAGTATAATATTGTACTGACTACTTCATCCTTCCCGTTGATCATTCAAGTTTGCCAAAGCTGTTATTCTCGAATTTTGAGAAGCGGAAGATACTTATCCGAATGCAAAATAGTCAAAGTTTTGGCTGCCGAGGCAGAGGAAGTGCGAGAGCATATATCTCCTTCGCGAGCCTGACTGGATTCACCTGTACTATCTGTGAACGTCGACAGTCATATCAGCGCACGACCTGGAAGGGAATGTTAGATACCAAATGGACCAACTCCTTCAACACGAGAGAGTGATGCAAGGTGCTGCACGCCACTGACTGCGCTGTAAATGAGGTAGTCTTTGACAGCTTGAGACCTGTTGTGGTCAGCTCAAGGTCAGCTCAAAGTATTAGAGAGGAAAAATTGATGACAACTGGTCATTAATACTACCATAAATAAGGTGAATGGGAAGCTGCCTTGCAAGAGCGCCGAGTAGGTAGTAAGAGCGTGTCAGCGCGTACAGATCTTGAAGGCAGGCCTTAAAAGAAGTAGGATGGCGCGAGAAAAGCAAAGTTGTGTACATGACGGAGCATACTCCTGCCGTGGACAAGGAACCCATGCCGTGCCTCGATACATAGGACAATCGTTAAGTCCCCCTTTCACAAAGGACGCGCACACTGCGGCTCACGCACCACATATATCTTCAGGACACGGTCATCCCATATCTTCCAATTTGGACGACTCTTGAGATTTTTATATGCACCTTCAAAGGAAGGCCAGACGTCCCTGCGGTTTTCTGCACCCCCGACAAGGATAGGGTTGCGCTTTTCCATGAAGGTTGGATGATGCATAGTCATAAGCTCACAAAGAATAAGAGCTTGGGTTCCGAGTCCGATTTATGCAATGAAGTAATTGCCAAAAATTCCCGTGAACCCGTGGCTCTTCAGCAGATTGTTTCGGGTCCGCACAAAAGAACAGCAAGTAGGTAGTCTTATGCGCGCGCGATTGGCAGCGCCGCAACTGTTCGCAGGTGAGGCCAATGGCCCAAGGCCTAGGGTGGGGCAGTGTGACTAATAGTGGTCAATATCTTTCCATTCCGTGTGCTATCTTTTTATCACATACCTTTATTTACTATCGTTACTCTCTATAAACTTGGTCAGCATGTAGTACTTATAGCAGGAGTTCTTGCAAATGACTTTACCTTGACTTTACCTTGGAGTCGTTAGACCGTGACGATCTTGTCACACTAACAGCTTTAATCAAATCAGATCGCGTGTTAAAATTTCCTTATTGAATTTCACTGAAAATCTATCCAAGTATACTTGTTCGTCGTGTTATGCTCTCTAGTAACTAGCTCTAATTTATCCCAATTTTTTATCACTCGCTTACACGGTTAAAATAGCTGTTCTGTGCCATGTTACCGAAAACATAAGGGTGCACATAATATCTGGATCTCTTAAACTGGCTCTCAACTTTAACTAGAGACCTCCTGCTCAATAAAGACGCGTGAACCCCTTGAGAAAGCACCGGCTGTAGGACCCGTGGTCACAGAAGAGTCTAGTCAGATCGTTTCTCAAATTACTTGGACATAGGCAATTCTCATGAACCTGCAACAGCCATATGTGATAAGGTTCAAGACGATGAGGGACCTTCACTTGAAGAACCGGTCCCTTTACGACCTTTAACATCTCTCAAATGGCCATACGTCCCCGACGAATCGGCTTTTCCTGATCCTCTCAAACGAGACGATCCCAAAACGCTACAACTACACCAGTATGAAGCGATAGGTACCATATATTTCCTCTGCCGATATGTATGACCATGCTAATGTAAAGAGAATAGCCACGTCCCCCGCCATCCGAAAAATATTTGAAGAGCATCCAGAACTAAAGACAAAGATCAGATCAATTGACTCCCTTCGTGGTCATGACCGGGAAGAGGCACTACAACGTGCACTTGGGGTATCGTTTAAGGACGTTACGGATATATCGCCTCGGAAAGAGTTGTCTGAGGATACGTTGGCACTAAGAGAACTTGCGGAGGCTATTGAAGGGGCGGTTAGGAAGGGACAACGGCAAACGATAGGGCTCGATTGGGACTGAAATGTATCAGACTACGACTACCAACGTCTTCAGTGGCAATGGAGAGATAGAGGATGAATGAGCAAATGAGTCTGATGATTGGGGTTGTAGTCCTGTTGTATATGGTACATTTAAAAAATGAAAAACCAATGATGGGGCTCGAACCCACAACCTCCGCCTTTCTAAGAATAGGAAAGCGATGCTCTACCATTGAGCCACATTGGCTTATATCAAACGCTAAACTTTGTGCAACTTAAACGTACAGTTGCGACACATTTAAAGATCAAAACCGCAACTTTGTGGCTACATAGCATCACAGTACTTTTTACATATCGCGGACGTATATTATGTACGTCAGTGACAGCAATAAGTACCTGGCAGCATACAACTGGCCTTACCACGCTATTTGGATAGCAAATGTTTCCTTGACTTTAACTGTCCCGTGGCTTAGTTGGTTACGGCGTCCGACTGTTATTACTCTCAATCGGAAGATCGAGAGTTCAAGTCTCTCCGGGACAGTATTTTTGTCTTTTCGCTCCAGCCCTTTTCCCCAACACGCAAGCGAAAGGCAATCACCTCCGATAGTAGTGATGGAATTTTTATGTGAAACTTTCAAGTGGCCACGTTGAGGGAGGAGAAGAGTTGGAGGAAAGCCGTAGAAGACTCTGGAAGAATCGATATTGATGCTATTTATAGGCAAGACCCCAGCCAAGCAAAAACTTCTCGATCTGATTGTTTTTTAAAATTTGGCTTGCTCGCGTTAAAGTATCTCTTCTCCACCTATAATCCTCGCCTTCTAGTTCCATATCATTCTTCCACATCATGGCCGTCGTCGGTATTGATTTTGGCTCTCTTCACAGTCTGGTAGGCAGGCGATCTTTCCGATATAACACCTATAGCTCACTTAATTTTTCTTTCAGATCGGTGTTGCGAGGCACCGTGGCATCGATATCATCGCCAACGAGGTATCAAATCGCACAACACCGTATGTGAAAACCTTTCAAGCTTCTTTATGCATCTGCTAATTTCCATCTCAAAAGATCACTTGTTGGTTTTGGAATCAAGCAGCGTTCGATTGGTGAATCTGCTAAAACTCAAGAGACATCCAATTTCAAGAATACTATTGGATCTCTAAAACGTCTCATCGGTCGCACTGCTTCAGATCCCGAAGTACTGGAGATTGAGAAAAAATTCATCAACGCATCGCTAGTAGATGTCAACGGCACTGTCGGTGTAGAGGTACGTTTAATAAGTTTCTCTTGACTATTCAACTTAACCCGATGTTAGGTGAACTATGTCGGCGAGAAACAAAAATTCTCTGCCACCCAACTTGTCGCTACGTATCTGGCCAAACTCCGTGATATCGCCAGTGCTGAGCTCAAGACTGGTGTGCAAGATGTCGTAATCGCTGTTCCCGGATGGTATACGGATATTCAAAGACGAGCCCTCCTGGACGCTGCATCCATCGCTGGCCTCAACGCCCTCCGTCTTATCAACGAGACAACCGCTGTCGCCCTCGGCTACGGTATCACAAAATCTGATCTGCCTGAGCCTGAAAATCCCCGCCATGTCGCGTTCGTCGATGTTGGACACTCCAGTCTTTCCGTCTCCATCGTTGCCTTTGCCAAAGGTCAACTTACAGTTAAATCGGCCGCTTATGACCGCAATCTCGGTGGACGTGATATTGACTTTGCCCTCGTGAGGCACTTTGCTGAGGAATTCAAGGTCAAATATAAGATCGACGTCCTTTCCAACCCCAAGGCCGTCTTCCGTCTTGCTGCTGGTTGCGAAAAGCTGAAGAAGATCCTTTCTGCTAACTCTGAGGCCCCATTGTCCGTCGAGAACATCATGGCCGATGTCGACGCTTCCTCCAACCTTAACCGCGAGCAGCTCGAAACACTCGTTGCTGATGTCCTCGATCGTATTCCCGCTCCCCTTCAGCAAGCCCTCGAGGACTCTGGCCTGACCGTCGAAGAACTCGATGCCATCGAATTGGTCGGTGGCTCCACCCGTATCCCCGCCGTCCGCAACCGTATCGCTTCCGTCTTCCCTGGTAAGGTCCTTTCCACCACCCTGAACCAGGACGAAGCTGTTGCTCGTGGTGCAACCTTCTGCTGCGCCCAGCTTTCCCCCGTTTTCCGCGTTCGTGATTTCGCTGTCCATGATATCACACCCTACCCGATCAAGGTCCAATGGGTTCCCGAGCCCGACTCACCAGACGAAGATAAGGAGCTCCTCGTCTACCCCAAGGGTAACCCCATCCCCTCCACCAAGGTCCTCACTTTCTATCGCAAGGACACCTTTGACCTCGAGGCCCTTTACGCCGAGCCTGCCGTCATCCCCACTGGCATCAACCCTTGGATCACCAAGTTCACTGCTAAGCAAGTGTCTCCTGAAGCCTCTGGCGATGCCACGACCGTAAAGGTCAAGACCAGATTGAACCAGCATGGTATCTTGTCATTTGAGGCTGCGTACACCGAGGAGATCGAGGAGAAGGAGGAGCCTGCTCCTGCGCCACCCATGGATGTTGATGGTGCTGAGCAGCCACCCGTTCCACCCAAGAAGAAGAGGACAGTAAAGAAGAAGGATGTTCCCTTCGTCACTGGTTCTTCCTCATTGGATAAGAGCATCATTGAATCATTGAGGGAGCAGGAGAACGCCATGCACGCGGCTGACAAGCTCGTTATGGACACTGAGGTGTGTTTTTGTCGTCTTTTTCTGCCCTGAAAACATGCTTACCCACACCCTCTTCTAGGACCGCAAAAATGCGCTCGAGGAGTACGTCTACGACACTCGTGGCAAGCTTGACGACCGCTACGCTCCCTACGTTCAGGCTCCTGAGAAGGAGAAGCTCCTCGCTGCTCTCCAGGAGGCTGAGGACTGGCTGTACACCGAAGAAGGTGAAGATGCCACCAAATCTGCCTACGTTTCCCACCTCGATTCGCTCAAGGTTCTCGGTGACCCCATCACCTTCCGCTGGAAGGAATCCGAGGAGCGTGTCAAGGCGACCTCCCAGTTGCGCGAAACCATCAACAACTACATGTCGCAAGCGACTTCCGGCGAGGAGAAGTTTGCTCATATTGATGAGAAAGACAAGCAGAGCATCGTAGAGAAGGTTGCCACCGTGCAGAAGTGGCTAGAGGATCAGACCGTCAGGCAATCCGAGCGCCCGAAGAACGTTGATCCTGTCCTGACCTCTGCGGAAATTGGAAAGAAGAGGGATGAGATCATCTATTTCGCTACTCCCATTCTTACTAGGCCCAAGCCCAAGCCTCCCGTGCCCAGCGGCACCGAGACTCCCAAGAGCAAGACTGAGACGCCCAAGGAGGAGTCCAAGGATGCCCCTGAGGGTGAGGCTTCTCAGGGCCCTTCGGAGATGGATGTCGATTAGATTTCCTGTTAGCCCTACCTATCTTCTTTCAAGAATTGATTCAATATGTACCATCATAAGTAATTGCAGGAAGGCTTGCATTGTCATTAGATAGATTTCAAGAGAAATTGGCGCACGTACAATCAATTGTAACGCGTGGAGATCGTCGACGACAACTTTTTGTGGGGATTATTACATGTGAGAAGTCGATGTCTAAAGCCAAATGACCTTTTAACTTCGCACCATCGCCACCACTGCCCTGCTTCGACACATTCCCTTCGTTCGTGCCTCCTCAACCTCAAGACCAACACTTGATTGCTGCCAATAGTGTTCATGGCACTGATGTTTAACCATTGGCAGGCACTGTCTTAATTCAAATGTCGAAAACTGTCAAAGTGACAACAAAAATCCTCGAAATACTGGCCCCAGGACTTACCCCATCGAACATTGTCCTGTACAGAACTAGGGGATGATAGATCAGCAGGACAGCACTTGGCTATTCATATACTTGGCTATGTCCCTGTGTACAATCAAAAGTGGTGCGTTTTCATCTCGCTCTTCAGTTTCAACCATTCATCAGGTGGACATCATATGAATTTCAATCGGTTCTTTTCAGACGTTCTGGAGTCAATTTTTGGTTAGCTACGGGCTGGCTACGGGGAAACGTTGGGACCGAGGGTTAGAAACAATGAAATCGGTTCCTGTGCCTTTGATCCAGGTTTCACGGCGGCGATACACCATGTCAATCTACTTCTCTTCTACTCTATATAAAGGCCCTAGAGATACACAGCAAGGCTCCAGAGTCCACGAACTTCGCACATAGTAGATGTCTTTCACCTTCGAACAGGATCGATACATTGTCGCCTCTCCCGAAAGATGCGACGTTGTAGCCACCAATGATCAGGTCGCATCCGAGATTTGGTTCAAGACACCCGTAAGTCGCTCGTTTCCTCCTCTTACGTGCCGTTTACCCATGTGTGTATCCTCCTGCAGGCTCTTGATAAATATGTCATTGAGAATATCAAGGGCGTTCAGCTCGAGACCAAATCTCATGATCAAGGATGGGCTGATAACCCCGAGGCTGGCATCTGGAGCTGGTTCGATATCATCGTTCTTGACGAGAATGCCTCGATGTTAGATCCTGATCCCAAGAACAAGTGTAAAGTGTATGTTTTTCTCCTTCGTTCATCTGAACGACGAAGGCTGAATACATCTCCAAAGTTTCGTAGTCTCCGGACAATCCCAGAATCTCAGTGCCAGTGCCGAGCATTTCCGAACGTACCCCACCAAATTCCCGGATCCATTTACGAATTGTACTATATGGCAAGCTGCACGTGCCACATCCGCTGCACCAACCTATCTCCCACCCATTAAAATAAACGACACGGAGTTCGTTGATGGCGGAATCAGGTTCAATAACCCCTCAATCCTGTAAGCTTCCTTCCTTCCTTTAGAGGGAGGAAATCTGACACTGCTTAAATAGTCTTATGGGAGAGGTCAACGCTGTCTTTGGTATCGACGACGCTGGGTTTGGTATAGCACGGCACATCGATTGTTTATTGAGTATTGGGACCGGTCGGGCGCCCAACATCAAAATCAACTCGCAACCCGGCAATCCAGTGGCAGTGGCGCTTTACGCAAAGTCCATTGCTGAAGCCTCGATCAAGGTCATGACGGATTGCCAAACGACGGCCGACTTGATGAATGGCCTGTTTTATGGCAAAGAGGACGTATATTACCGCTTCAATGCTGGTGTGCAGGTTGGAAATGACTGGGCACCTCTAATCGCCCTGGACGATTATCAAGACATGCCGCAACTCGTCACTCTCACTCAGACTTACCTTCTGGGTCAGGC